CAGGCTGTGCCTCCCCCATCAGACTGAGTTCCCTCTGCAAGCAGGCTGTGCCTCCCCCATCAGACTGAGTTGCCTCTGCGAGCAGACTGTGCCTCCCCCATCAGATTCCACAGCTGCATTCAGGAGAGGGAAACAGGCCTCCCCTGTCAGACCTGCCACTCTTCTAAGGCAGGGTCCAGGCCACCATCTGACTAGGCCCCTCCCCCTCCTCTATCAACCTGCAAAGTCCCAAGGGGAGAAGGGTGAACCTCCCCCATCAGACAGCATTCCCACAGGGAGAAAGGGGCTGTGCCTCCCCCATCAGACCTCAGAGTTGCATGGGGAGGCCTCCTCTGTCAGACTGGCCACTTTTAGGGGGCAAAATCCAGGTCTCTCCCTCAGGTGACCCTCCCCTCTCTGCCCCTTTAGTGGGCCACCCCTCCCCCCTCAGGCTGGCCTCCTCCCTCAGTGGGTCAACCCTCCCCGTCCGGCTGGCCTCCCCCACTTACGCATGTCGAACAGGTCCTTCTGGGGGCTGTCCTCAGGCTGCGGGGGCACTGCCGCTTCTAGCTCCGGGGCTTCCAGACCCTCCATGTTGACGTACAGGTGGTCCTCGTAGTCGCGGGGGCCGCGGGCGTCCGCCTGCACGTAGCCGTCCCCCGGTGGGGCTGGGGGGGTGGGGAGGGGTCGTGGGGTCAGCCAGGAGAAGCCCAAGTGAGGGGGCCCTGGATGCAGGGGCATGGTGGGGTGGGCGTCCACCTGGACCTTTCCCCACCCTTGTCTTCCTGCCAGGAACGCAGTGACCTGCCCTCTGCAGGGCAACGCACCCTATGGGCACAGCCTGGAGTCAAAGGTCTTAGAAGGGACGAAAATCTCCATACACGCCCAGCCAGGGACATCAGTGGATGAAGTGGGCAGGGGTCGAGGTCCTGACCAGGGAGAGGCAGCTGCCCACCCCACCCCCCAGCCCCAGGGCCAAATCTTCCCAGTTTTCAAAAGAAGTTAAAAATCTGATTTTTAGGTTAGATCTCCACATTTAACAAATACTAACAGGAGCTCTTTTCTCCCTGTGTGTAAGCGATCAGCAGGATACATAGGGGAGGCTTATTTCCGCTCAGGTCGGCTTCAGGGTTTGCTCTCGTTTTTTAAATTCTAGTTCTGAATGTGTTTCATGCTTTCCCTCCCATGGTTCAAAAGCCACAACTACAAGCAAGGTATTGGAAGACCTTCCTCTGGATTCTGTCAGATCCCGACCAGTTCGCCTCTGAGAGGTGGGGCCGAGCTCCGCCTCTGATAGGTGGGAGCGGGCCCGCCTGTGGGAGATGGGGGGCTCCGCCTGTGAGAGATGGGGGGCTCCGCCTGTGAGAGATGGGGGGCTCCGCCTGTGAGAGATGGGCGCGGGCTCTGCCTCTGACAGGTGGGGGCGGGCCCGCCTGTGAGAGATGGGGGGCTCTGCCTGTGAGAGATGGGGGGCTCCGCCTGTGAGAGATGGGAGCGGGCTCCGCCTCTGACAGGTGGGGGCGGGCTCTTCGTCCTCTCAGCCTGGAAGCCAAGTGTCTTATCAAACGGTTAGAGGATAAGTGATAGAAGTAGCATCCTGGGTCACGTTTGTTTCCATTTCCCTCCATTGGAGCAAGGTCGAAGGTCTTTTCCTGGGTGTAAAGGGTATTTGTCTTTTTCTCTCAACTGTCTGTTCATGGTCTTTACTACACAACCCACACCCATTCCCATCGACCCTATAGTGGTCAAACTCAGCCCCAGGGTCTGCAGTTTGCAATCCCTGCTTTATGCAGATTCTATCATTAACCTCACAGAGGCCTGGGTTCAAATTCCAGGGCTGTCCTCTGTGGGCATGGGCAAGCTAGTCAACCTCTCGGTGCCTCAGTCTGTCCATCTTTAAAATGGGCAGAGTAAGAGTAGCTTCTTCATAAAGTTGGGGTGAAGATTAAAGCCTTAGAACAGTATGAGTCCTAATGCTGTGCCATACTGGGTTGGCTGATGAGGAGCAGCGGGGTCTCAGCCCAGCCTTCCTTCCCAGGGGGCACAGATTCTCCCCTCCTTTAATGGTCAGGGCCAGGTGAGAGGGAACAACCCGGGGTTGGGGGCATCCAGAGTGGGAGAGAAGCTGCTGATGGGTGGTGGAAGAGGTCCTGGATGTTAGAGGTGGGGCGTTGACGTATTGGTAGGAGTTCTTGGCCAGAGAAATGGGCAAGGTAAGCCAAGAAGCAATCACAGCATGTGCAAAGGCACAGGAGCAGGAAACACTGACGAGCCCTGGTCTTTAGGGGCGAGCAGCCCACGTTTCAGAGAAAAAGCAGACCAGGGCCAGATTACAGTGGCCCCAGATGCCCAGGTGGGCACTCAGCAACATGCTTAATTTAACCCACAGGCACTGGGAGCCATGGAGGGCTCTGACGCTGGCAGCCAAACACCCGTGTTATTTGGGAAGATCTAAAAAAAAAGGCTTGCTTGCTGGAAGCGAACAGGACTTCAAGCACCTACTGATGAAGATCAAAGACTACAGCCTTCAGTATGGATTACACCTCAACATAAAGAAAACAAAAATCCTCACAACCAGACCAGTAAGTCACATCATGATAAATGGAGAAAATACTGAAGTTGTCAAGGATTTCATTTTACTTGGATCCACAATTAATGCCCATGGAAGACAAAAAAAAAACAAAAAAAACAAAACCCTATTGCCGTCGAGTCAATTCTGACTCATAGTGACCCTACAGGACAGAGTACAACTGCCCCATAGGGTTTCCAAGAAGCAGCTGGTGGATTTGAACTCCTGACCTTTCAGTTAGCAGCCAAGTTCTTAACTACTGTGTCACCAGGGCTCCTCCCCATGGAAGCAGCAGACAAGAAATTAAACAACATAATGCACTGGGCAAATCTGCTGCTAGAGATCTATTTAAAGTCTTAAAAAGTAAGGATGTCACCTTGAGGACTAAGGTGCACCTGACCCAAGCCATGGTGTTTTAAATCACCTCATATGCATGCGAAAGCTGGACAATGAATAAGGAAGACTGAAGAAGAATCGATGCCTTTGAACTATAGTGTTGGCGAAGAATATTGAATGTACCACGGACTGCCAGAAGAACGAACAAATCTGTCTTGGAAGAAGCACAGCCAGAATGCTCCTTAGAAGCAAAGATGGCAAGACTTTGTCTCACGTACTTTGGACGTGTTATCAGGAGGGACCAGTCCCTGGAGAAGGACATCATGCTTGGTAAAGTAGAGGGTCAGTGAAAAAGAGGAAGACCCTCAAGGAGATGGATTGACACAGTGGCTGCAACAATGGGCTCAGACATAACGATTGTGAGGATGGCGTAGGATGCGGCAGTGATTCACGCTGCTGTACGCAGGGTCACTATGAGTCGGAACTGACTCCACAGCACCTAACAAAAAGCCAACACAGATGTCAGCGAGGCTGGGGAAGCAGGCAGGCAGCCCTGGTGATTAAGGTCCACACTCCGTGACCCAGCAATTCAAGGCTCAGCCGCCACTGGAGGGACACGCTGGTGGGCACAGGAGGCCAGCTGGGGTGTCTGCGTATAACAAGGGGAGCTAGAAAGGTGCCAAATGCCCGTGGGTGGGGGACCAAGTGAGTAACAAACTCTAAAAAAAAAAAAAACCATTGCCGTTAAGTCGATTATGACTCATAGCGACCCTACATATAAACAAACTCTAGGGGCGGGAAATTCTATGCAGCCATTCAAAACAATGCACCAAATTCGAAAGACCCCAAAACTGATGAAGGGACCTGACAAGAACCAGAACGACGCCCACGGCATGGTGCCTCAGGTGTGACGGTTTCTCTGGGCACCTATTTCTAAAAGGTCTGAAAGGAGGCACAACATTATGGTTTGAAGATTTGATTATGGCCATGAGAAGGGCTGCCCAGGAAGACAGCAAGAACAGGACGGACTTTGTCTGGTGATCAGGAGGACTTCCCTAAGGAGGCTGCACTTGGTCTGGCCTCTGATGTGTGAATAGGAGTTTCCCAGGATCAGAGTGAGCTCCCCCGGAGGGCTGGGGCCAAAAGGGATTTTAACCTTCTCGGTCATTTTTTTAAGGAGGCCTGGTGGGGCAATGGTTAAGCACTCGGCTGCTAACCAAAAGGTCGGAGGTTCAAACCCACCAGCAGCTCCACAGAGGAAAGGCCTTATAATCTGCTCCCTTAAAGATTACAGCCAAGAAAACCCTAAGGGGCAGTTCTACTCTATCACATGGAGTCGCTGTGAGTCTGAATCAACTCCATGGCACACAACAACAACAGTTATTTTTAACTTTGTGTAACACTGTATGTTCATTGTCTGACTCAGTTACTTTGGACATATCATCAGAAGGGAGCAATCGTTGAAAGAGGACTGTGATGGTTAAGATTGTGTGTCAACTTGGCTGGGCCATGATTCTCAGTCGTTTGGCAGTTATGTAATGATGTCGTTATCCTCCATTTTGCGGTATAACGTAATCACATCCATGATTTGATCCGATGCGATCAGTTTTAAGGGGAGTTCCCTCGGGGGTGAGGCCTGCATCCAATATATATGGACATTCTGACAAAGCTCACTGGCTTTTGCTCGCTCTGGATCTTGCAACCAGCTTGTCATCAGCCGACTTCCAGTTCTTGGGACTTGAGCCAGCAGCCTGCTGTATTTCCTGCTGATCTTGGGATTAGGTGGCCTCTGCAGCCTGTGAGCCAGCAGCCTGCTGTCTGACATGCTGATCTTGCGCTGGTCAGTCCTGCAGCTATGTGAGTCAGGAGAAGCCTCCAGCCTGATGCCTCACCCACGGATTTGGGATTTGCCAGTCTCTACAACAGCATGAGCCATTTCCTTGAGATAAATCTCTCTCTCTCTTTCTCTCTCTCTCTGTCTATATATATGGAGCCCTGGTGGTGCAGTGGTTAAGCGCTCAGCTGCTAACCAAAAGGTTGGCAGTTCGAATCCACCAGTCACTCCTTGGAAACCCTATGGGGCAGTTCTACTCTGTCCTACAGAGTCGCTGTGAGTGGGAATCGACGGCAACAGGTGTATAACATTGTATACATTGTGTTACTGTGTATAACTTGACTCCCTATGAGTCTCAACTCCACAGCACCTCACAACACCAACCAACATAACATGATGCATGAATGCTTGTGGACTTAAAACGCAATCACTTTGTTAAAACAAGAGGACGTGGAGGAGGGCCATCAGAGGATCTCTATCAACAAGGAATGAGCGGTTACACCCCTGGGCATGTGTTCTTACTGAAGTCTGTGCACTAGAGCAGAGCGTTCAAGGTGACTCTGCACCACTGTCGTGCAAACGCGGGGAAACCACCCACATGTCCGCGAGCTGGTGAGGGGGGGATAATTATAGTCCTTCACACAGTGAGGCACTACACAGTGGTGAAAAACATAGGGAAGACTGACGGGTGCTGATGCGGGAGGAATAGCAAGATGGCTGTTGTTGTTGTTAGGTGCCGTCGAGTCAGTTCCAACTCACAGCAAAACCCTGCCCGGTCCTGTGCCATCCTCACAATCGTTATGTTTGAGCCCATTGTTGCAGCCACTGTGTCAATCCATCTCGTGGAGGGTCTTTCTCTTTTTCACTGACCCTTTACTTTACCAAGCATGATGTCCTTCTCCAGGGACTGAGTCCTCATGACAACATGTTCCAAGTATGTAAGACATAGTCTCCCCATCCTTGCTTCTAAGGAGCATTCTGGTTGTACTTCTTCCAAGACAGATTTGTTCGTTCTTTTGACAGTCCATGGTATATTTAATATTCTTCTCCAACACCATAATTCAAAGGCATCAATTCTTCTTTGGTCTGCCTTATTCATTATCAGTTTTTGTACGCATATGAGGTGATTTAAAATACCAGGGATTGGGTCAGGCGCACCTTAGTCTTCAAGGTGACGTCTTTGCTTTTCAACACTTTGAAGAGGTCTCTTGCAGCAGATTTGCCCAATGCAATGTGTCTTTTGATTTCTTGACTGCTGCTTCCATGGGTGTTGATTATGGACTCAAGTAAAATGAAATCCTTGACAACTTCAATCTTTTCTCCATTTATCATGACGTTGCTTATTGGTCCAGTTGTGAGAATTTCTGTTTGCTTTATGTGGAGGTGTAATCCATACTGAAGGCTGTGGTCTTTGACCTCCATCAGTAAGTGCTTCAAGTCCTCCTCACTTTCAGCAAGCTAGGTTGTGTCATCTGCATAAAGCAGGTTGTTAATGAGTCTTTCTCCAATCCAGATGCCCCTTTCTTCTTCATATGGGCCAGCTTCTCGGATTAGTTGAAGATGAATGGTTAGGTGAAAAAAGCAATGTGGACAGTGTGCATGTGACACCCACGGTGTAAAAATGAGGGGAAATGGTGGTGGTTGTTGTTAGGTGCCGTCAAGTCAGTTCCCACTCACAGTGACCCCATGTACAACAGAGTGACACAGTGCCCGGTCCTGCGCCATCCTCACAATCGTAGTTATGTTTGAGCCCATTGTTGCAGTCACTGTGTCAGTCCATCTCATCGAGGGTCTTCCTCTTTTTTGCTGACCCTCTACTTTACCAAGCATGATGCCCTTCTCCAGGGACTGGTTCCTCCCGTGTCTTTAAATTACTATGTCTTTAAATTGGCCTGAAGGCACATGGAAAATTCTGGAAAAGTAATTGAGAAACCTCTAAATACTAACTGGTAACTTGTTTAGGGAGGTACGTGAGGCAGATGGGGACAGGGATGAGAGAGTGACTTTTCACTGAATACCTGTTTATCCTGTGTTTTGAACCATGGGAACACATTAGCTCCAAAACTGCAAATACAGTGATCCTGAGGGGAAGTGAAAGATGCAGAGGGGACAGAAAGCCTGAAGGGAGGCATTGGGGTCAGGGACTGGCAGGGGGGCAGGCCTGGGCACTCACCTGGCCCTGAGGCCACCCTACCTGTTCCTGAGGGTCCCACGTCCCACAGCACACCACGGGTGTCTCTTCGAACAGGAGCTGCTCCCTGAAAAAGAAGGGTGTGAGGTCCCCTTGGGATGTGCAAACTCCTCTTCCCCAGCCCAGCACCCCAATCTCCTCCATCTCTTAAATAGCTCATAGCACCCCCTCTTCCCCAGCCCAGCACCTCTTAAACATCTAGAGACATGACAGATTGGGGAGCTCGGCTCTCAGCCCTTCCCGGCTCCCCAGAGCTCAGTGGTGCCCACCTCTGCAACCTCATCGATCTTCTCTCCACTCCAGAAGGCAGCCTGCACCCTCCTGCCACTTTGCACATGCTGTTCCCTCTGCCTGGATGACCTTCCCCACCCTTCTCTCCTGGGTGACTTCTATTCACCCATCAGGGCCCATCCCAAGCACTGCCTCCCCCAGGGAAACCCTCCTGACCACCCAAAAACTCAGTATCTTGCTGTGTGTTCCCACCACCTTCCCTCGTAGACTTATCATAGCCGTAATCCAATCATGAATGTAATTATGTATTCAAGGCTTGGGGGATGAGGATGATGTCTGAAACGCTTATGGTGTCTGAAGTGTCTGGGATGGGGCTGAGCAGAGAGCCAGCACTAACCTGCGCCGCCTTTGTGGATAAGCAGATGGATGGATGGATGGATGGGTGGGTGGGTTGGTAAGTG